ATAAACCTTGCTATCAGGACCCCAGATTCAGTTGTAGTGAAGCAGGAATCTTCTTCCATGAGGCCAAACCCCACTGAGACTGGTGAATGCATTGGGCCTTAAATACATAAAGAGAAGCATCAGAGTGTATATCGTACCCCTCTGCGCAATGTTAATGTCCTTAGTGATTTCCTGCAACCCATGAAGTGCCATATACTCAGATTGATCACTTGGCTTAAAAAACATTTCGGGTACAAAAACATTTGGACTGGGTCTGTGATTTCATTGGCATAGAAATTCCCCCTACAACTACAAAAAAGATCCCTTCTGCTCTTAAAGAGTCTCCTGTGGTAGTGAGAGGTTAAGTGACATGGTCATATGGCTCAGTTATATGCCAATGTCAGGACTCAAACTCAGGGCTTCCAGATTCCAGGGCCAGCTCTCTATCCACTCCACTCTTTTGCTGCTCAGATCTGCAACTTGGACTTCTAAAGTCACAGAAACCAATGATAGAAACCATATCTAGTCATGGCATAGACAGGATTACTGCAAAAGAGATTTCATTTGCTAAGTTCATACTATTCCTAGTATATGCTCCTCTCCCTCCACTTTCACAATCCCCATTGGTAAATTGGTTGCTGAGTCCTTTCTGACTCAGGTGTACCAGGCAGGTCCTGTAAATGTCATTTGCTCCACAGAGGTTAGGGAAATAAAAAGAGGAAAAAGTTGCCCTACCTACTCCTGACCAAGGACAAAGAACTGAGGGAGTTTATGTCATTAACCCTAATGATCTGGAGGAAATAAGCCTATTAAAAGTCATACTTCCCTAAAAAGTGAGGGATGATGAGGGGGTATCCTAAGCTGAGGGAATGGTTAGACATGGACAGATCAAAGTCATCAACCATGAGTTAGTCCTTCCTGGCACTGATCCTTCCTGAACAATTAGCTCACCTGTTGAGAATCTTCCCCCCCCCCCCCCCCCAACTAAACCTACAAATGCAGGTTTAGATAAAGGTAGGAAAAGGAACTTTGGGGGAACTTTGATGCTAGCCAATAGTTGCATGAAAGAACTTCCTCTTTGTGTTTTGGTGGCTATAAAAAGATTAACCCTTAGCCACAGGCCTACCTACTATCTTCCTCAGTCTCCTAATCAGCTTCAGAATTCAAAGGGGACATCTGTGAGAACTGAGAAACACACTACCAGTAACCAAGGAGAAGAATACCATGGAAACTTCCATTAACCCTGCCATGTCTCTATCAGAGCTAATAAAACAAGTGCTTGGAAAGCAAGACTAGTAAACTATATCTAGACTAAAAACCAATAAGAAGAAGCTTCCTTTAGCACCAGTGCATTCATGAGTCTCAGTACGGTTTGGCTCTGTGGGAGAAATTCCTGATTCACTGTACCTTGGATCTGGGGTCCACATTATCCAGGTCTGTTGATGCTGCATTAGGTTTCGGGGAATCCTCTGGAGCTTAGGCTTGGGCTGAGTTTTAGGTCTTATTGTTCTTAATGGAGGACTCAGGTTACAGTAGGGATGCTGTCCAATTGGTGGAATTCAAATGGTGGAAAGGATGATGATTAAAAAGATGATAAAGACAAAGATACCCCCTAGCAGAATGGTATGAATGAATGGGATGACTGGTGCTTTGTGACAAGATGCTAAAGTTTAGAATGTGCATTCCTTCCACAAATAGACGTAACTGAGCTTAGCACCTAGTCAACAAAAATAATTAGTTAAAATAGGAAGCTCTAGAAGCTTCCTCTTTTCCCTCATTCCTGGTGGCTACACTTAAGTGAGCTCCTTTCTGCCACACACCTGCCTCAGTGTGACATTTTGTGATACAATATGGCTCTGAAAATTTTAGGTTACCGCTTTGCTCCCAAGGTCCTGTTTCTTGAATAAACACTATTGGAAAATCCCTGATTGGTACAATCAGGGTACAATGTCTGCCCAGCTCCCTCCTTCTACAGTCAACTAATATTTAGAGCTAGGGCTTTAATGCTACACTGTAATTTCAGCTTGCTCCAGGCTCTGGGGTCTGTCCTGTGCCTAGGTGGAACAAATGTAGAGTCCTCAGATCTTCCTTCTTTCTTATTGAATCAGCATTACCAGTTTTACTGACAGGCCTACTTTGACCCTAGCACCCAAGTAACTAGGTTTCTCTATTTTTCCCTTATAGTGAAGTCCTTGTCTTAATAACCAAGTACCCTGAAGGTCCTAGATGTCCTGACCCTGAACCTCAGTCTTTCTGTGAGCAGATCCTGTTATCTGCTGCCAGAACTTCTTGGTGCCATTCATCCACCTTCCCATACTTCTGCCAATGGAACTGCCTTTTTATTAGCCTGTAGTTGGACAGATCATGGCTTCGTATTGTATCTTTGATTCATGGTCTTGCATCCTATTTTTCCTTTCAGTAGACTGAGCTCCTTATTCTGAACCTTCCTTAAGACTAACATTCCTTGAGCAGCCAACATCTGACCTTAAGTTCATATTCCAATACTCTTTGCCTGATCCTGTAGATCTCTCTGGACTCCTTTTATTGACTTACCCAAGTCTGGCTCATCTTGCCTCTTCTTGGCCCATGACTCAGCACCACTAAGCTATTAGTTATGATTAACTTTGTTTTGGACAAATTGCACCCCATCTCCTCTGCACGGTATTAAAAAGCCCCCAGGGATTCTGAGGGTTCTAATGATGAGGTAGGACAGGAGTGTCCAACAGATTAGTCATGAGGCTGCAGCCTGTGGACAGCCCCATCTCCCTTGTGGCCTATGGTAATTTGAAATATGAGCTTGAAATATCCCTAGGCCAACTGTCCATGGGATAGAGGTAGCAGTTATGGTCAGAGGTTGCTACTATGTTCCCTCACCTCATCTGGAAGGCATTTATGTTAGGAAGGAAGCATAGTTGCGAACTACAGGGATTGAAAATAATCATGATTTCAAAGGAAAAGGGAAAGGGCCTATATGTACAAAAATATAGCAGCTCTTTTCTGGGGGCAAAGAATTGGACATTGAAGGGATGCCTATCCATTAGGGAATGGTTGAATAAGTTACTGTATATGATTGTGATGGAATGCTATTGTTATTAAAAATGACAAGAGAGGATGGTTTCAGAAAAACCTGGGAAGACCTATATGAATTGATGCAAAATGAAGTGAGTGGAAAGAACCAAGAGAACATTATGCATAGAAATAGCAATATTGTAATAATGATCAACCGTGAAAGATTTAGCTACTCTGATTAAACAATGATCCAAGACAATTCTGAAAGATTCACGGTGAAAAGTGCCATCTACCTGCAGAGAGAAAATTGATGAACTGAGCACAAATTGAAGTATATTTTTTCCAGTTTTTTTCTTGCTTTTTAATTTTTTTTTTGCAACATGGCTAATACGGGAAATATATTTTGCATGATTTCACATGATTAACTGCTATCATATTGCTTGCCTTCTCAAAGGGTGGGGGGGCTGTAGACAGGGAGAGAATTTGGAGCTCAAAATTTAAAAAAAGAATGTTAAAAAATAAATAAATAATAATTTTGTAAAAAAGAAAAAAGAATCATGCTGATCAGTCTGTAACCACCTTTCCTCTTCATTTCATACTGGTAGGATTTCATTGTCAGAACTTCCCTTTCTCCTTCACTCCACTTCCCGCGCTCCCCATATACTGTGCCCATTTTCTTTCAGCATTCTCTTGACCTCTGTTGACCATGAGGCTTTAGGTGAGTAAGGCATCTTTTCAACCCCAAAAGCTGGAGACCTCTGAGGGAGCAAAAGAGAAAGGTAGCTTGTCCACATTTACTATAAATAATGGAACTTAGGCCACCAAAGTCCAGAGTTAGAGGTCCTGAGTTCAAATCACTCCGATGCTCACTATCTGTATCTTAGGCATCTCAACACTCCCTAGGCTCGTTTCTTTATCTTCAAAATGAGAGAATTGTACTGTATGCCTTCTAAGGTCCCTTTTAACTCTATATCTGTGATCTTGGACTCTGGGCTCTAACCATTAGGATATCCTCTCCCTTTATGTTTAGACTAACTTTGTAGTGACTTTAGGGGGGGAAAATTCATCAAGGCAAATGAAGAAAAAGACCACATGAGGTAGTATTTTTAAAAACCTTTTTTTAATGAAGAAATAATTCCATTCCAAAATATAGACACACAATTAAATAGTTTAATCACTTCAAAATATAACATGTCCCCAGTAGGTTCCAACACACACACAAAACAATACTTAACAGCAATACAAAAAAAGTCCATACAATAGTAGTTTTGTTACAATATCAATGAATATTGTGAAATCTTTAGTGTCTCTGTATCCTTTGTTTCAAATGGCGTCAAATTACAGTAGTCTTAATTAAAAAGTCTTACAGTTAGTAGCCTCAAGATGTAACTCTTTATATATCTATATATATGTATATATATATATATATATACACACATATATATATATATGTGTGTGTATGTATAATTTATTTTTTGGTTCAAAAGTAAAAATGCCTTTTCTGCTGAGGACACAGTGGAGTTGCTGTTTGTGGCTCCTTGCGCTGAATTGAACCAAGGTGATCCTAGCAACCTGAGGTTGCATTATTTACAAGATCTATCTACAGTTAACAGCCAAGAACTCATAACGGGTGGATAAAGATGATCAAAATAAAGGCAGACACCTGTGCTAAATTAAGATGCAACAGTTTGGCTCATGCATATAAGAAAATACATATCACAACAAAGGCCACACTCCTTCAATGCAATTCCATTCACAGGCCTACATACAGATGAACCTCCACCGCCTTGTGGCAGATCATTCAAGAGACCCCTCTTCACCTTTCTCTTTGAACATCCTTTTGGACCATCTGCACCAGTTTCCTCCAACCCCCACCCTGACCAACTGCGACAGTACTCTGGATCCTGATCAGCCTATCCCTCTCATGACCCAAGTGCCATGTCTTGGGGGTTTGGCCATGTGTATTCACTGTGCCCTAAAATGCTATCATTGCTATGGGCCATGAGTGTGTAATTCTTTGTTGAACGAACAAGAAACAACCAACCACAAGATATAATTGTATCAAATGGACAGACGAAGACCTGCTGGGCTTTGCATTAAGAAAATACTTAAAATGTAAACCTGGAGAGCCAAAAACCAAAACAAAACAAAAATGGCCACCTCTTTTCAACTGTAGGATTTGGGTGTCTCGATCTGATCTGCACTGATATGGAGCTGAGAGAAACATCAGGTGGCTGGCTATTCTGAAATAGATCACTGAAAATGACCCCCAAGGAAGGCATTGCAGTGGCTTGATTCTATTGCATCTTCCCGATGAAGGGTGGGTGTACCCCAATTCCTCTGCCCAAGGGAGAGCCTCATGGTATGTTCCTATAATGCCTTAAACTGTAAACTAGCTCTTCAATGTGAAAAAAAAATGATGACATGTTTTGGCAGCTCAGTTAGCTGCTGAAGGTCCCTAGGGATGCAAGATTGGCCATGTGGGACTCTGTGTTCAGAAACTTCTTGGCTGCAATTCAAAACTGAGAGTGATTTCGGCTTGAGCATGAGGCACCAGTGGTTGCTCTTCCTGACTGATGGGGGCACGGAGGGCTATGCTGTCACTGGGTATGGCCTGCCTTTAGGGGAGGCTGGCAGATGCCACCCAAACAGCAAGCATTTATTAAGTGCCTACTATGTGCCAGGCACTGTGCTGTGGGGCTATCAAGACCAAGAATAAAATAATCCCTCCTCTCAAAGATCTGACATTCTAAGGGTCATATAAATGATTTGTGGAGGGGAAAAGAAAAAAACACACCCAATGAGGAAGAAACCCAGGCACTGTTCCAATGCTGACTGGGGTGCCAGTGATATTTGGTCTATGCTCACCCTAGCACAGGGTTCCCTATGAAGAACTTCAGACAAGCATGGCCTCTGATTTCTTTTTAATTACATAAGGATAACCCTGAGGCAGGCTACTTCAGACCAATTGCACAGGGATGAATGTCTTCTAGCCCTCTGGAAATTGAGCTGAAAAAATATCTGACCAGACATGTGCTGTATGTTAGATAGCCTTTCCCTGTGGCCATATGTGGGCAGGGCCTAAGGCTTTGGGAGCCTAAGATGCAACACATAGTTACTGAACCTGGGTCTCAGTAATCTAAGAGCAAGTGACGAACTGAGAAATCTTTTCAGCATTCTTAGGATGTCCCCAAATTGATTCTCCCCCCCCCCAAAATTTTACTTATGTCGTTCCATCATTTCTTTTCTAAAGTTCCAGGAAAGAAAGGAAATGACCAGAATACCTCCTACTTTTAAGGCAACAAATCCAAAATGTTCATTTAAAAAATAATAATAACTCTGAAAGACCCAAAGAACATTTCTCCCTTCCATCTACCCAATGGAGTGCCACAAAGAGCCCACCCCAGCTTCTTTCCTTCTCCTTCCCACAATCCCCACTGCATCCTAAATTCCCTTTCTGTTGCACGCTGAATGCGCCAGTCTCCTTTTGCACTGCCATAGCCTGTGTTGAGCATACCTGGTGGCCTACTAAGGAAAAAAACAAAAAACAAGCCAACACCCCCCCCCCCGAAAAAAACCCCACAACAATCATTCAGAAAAAAAAGAAAAGGAGAGGCATCACTAACAAGCACATTTTAAGCCTGTACCTTTAAAGCTGAAGGCCTCCAAACAACCTGATAGGGAACAGATGAGACTTGAGTAGGGAGAGGTGTTGAAGACATGCTTCTGAAAGCCCAAACAACAATGAAACGAGAGCATGGAAGAGCATAGGGGACTTTAGTCGGTTTGGGGAATCTTATGGCACCTGTGGTTTATAAACAGCTTTAGTAACGAGTATTTCAAAACATAGTTCACAGTTTTAAGAAGATCTGTGCTGATTTAAAAACTAGATTCTATATAATTCGAATGTTGCCTTTTTTGTATATGATATCTATTTGGAAAAAAATATTTACACTAAATTCTATGGCTGATTTATTAGCGTATCTTGAAAGAAAACAACCTCAAGTTATACATTAGCCTAGAGAATAGGGCTATACTGCTGCATTTGGTACAGGTCATCTTTTTCTTTTCTTTTTTTTTCCCAACAGAGACTTGCAATCAAGTTACAGACTTCTTGGCTTCTGGATTCCAAGCAGGCGCTGCAGCCAGGAACAGAATCCTTTACGGCTAACGAATAACTCCAAGAGGTTGCTTTTTACAATTGCTTGTGGAAAAAAAATTGTACAGTGTATAGTAAATTGTTCTACTAAAATCTCAAAGTATTCAGAAATCAAACTCCTAGCTATAAACAGTATTAATATCATCATTGTAAACTGAACAGGTTCAACATCATGTGCAAAGGTTTAAAATGTTTTGTTAATACTGCCACTGCTGTTAACAGCAGCATTGTGTTTTAGCCTGGGTTCGTCATCAGGGATGAGCCATGTGACAGAAGATGCAGCTGATTAAGTTAACTTTAAACAAAAGTCTTTTTTTTTTTTTTGTCTCAAAACACACACCTACAAACTACGATTCTTAGAACAAAGGTTAGCAGTGCTACATTCAGCAGGCAGACAATGTCAGGGGCTGGGGTTTCTCGTCAGGAGCTGCCCTACATGTTGGTTGCCAGGGTGCTGTCCTCCTCCTCGGTCTGGAGGTAGCTCTCATCGTCATCTGTTTTCACATAACTGTCATCATCTGTCTGACTGTAGCTTGCCTAAGGAAAAGATAACGTATAATTTTTTTTATGGAACATTTTTTTTTCCTGAATTAGGACTAATGTTTTCCTTCTTCCCTGCAAAAATCAGTACCCTACAGGTACTAATTCCCCTTTTCTTTATAGCAAGACAATAGACTATTTTCTAGCCCTTTCTATGTTGAAAGAAAATCCTAAGAATCTTAGTGATTGAAGTTTTATCTTTATGAGTCCCTAAAGGCAAAGTGGAAAATATGTTTAAAAAAAAAAAAAAGCTAGAACACAGGCAACATTAATGTTGTCTTTCACCTAGAAAGTTGATTTGGCTTGTATCACTAAGGCTCAGTTTTCACTTGTTTTCTCAGTTATGGTGACTCTTCTAATTGTACTTTCTTGCCCTAGTCCCTCTTGTGACTTTAGGACATGGCAGACTGTGACGGTGGTGGAAGTTGTAACTAAACACTACAGACATAAATTGAAAACCTGGGTCTCATTAACTAGGCACTTAAACCAATTGAGTTAACAGGCCATGGTAACAGCAAATATGACTTCTACTGAAAATCTTAAAAAAAAAAAAAGGAATAGAAAGAAGAAAGAGAATTAAAGGCAGTTCTTTGAGGCCTGCTGACTTATTTCTTTAGGGCTTGGTCTGCTTTCTTTTATGGCTCAAGTGTGTGGACATAGGCTATGTTGTATTGTTTTCCCTAAACTAGAATTATATTTTGGAAAGAACAAATGTGTAGCTGGAAACATATTAAATCAAGGACATATATCATTTCTGACTCTGGATTTCCCTTGTGTTTGATGCTACCACAACTAATGATAGGTTTTGTGGTTTCTCTGTGCCATGTGTCCCTCAGAAGCTTGGGGGACATTTTACCCATATCCAGGCCATTGTTTACCCCTTCTCTTTGTTTTCCCTTATTTTCCATTCTACCCTGCCCTCCCCCATTCTGCCCACACTGGCCTCTGTTTCTCCAGACTTCATTATGTCCCAGGAATTTTTTCATCCAGCAAGATTACTTCATCATGACCCTCTGCCCTTGGGACCCCTCCCTCTGAATGGAAGGTGATGAGATGCTTCTAGAACCTCCATTTAAGGAGAAAAACCAAATTGCCAGTATCAAAAAATGATAAGGGTCAATGCCTTGAATGAAGATGAAATTAAAGCAATGAAGAGGAAATTAAATATAAGAATTATTAGGAGCTATTTTGCCCAAAATATGCCAGTAAAACCGACAATCTATGTGAAATATATGGATATTTACAAAAATATAAATTGCCCAGGTTCACAGAAGAGGAAATAGAATGCTTAAATAATCCTATCTTAGAAAAAGAAATTGAACAAGTCATAAACGAGCTCCATATGAAAAAAATCTCTAGGACCAGATGGATGTACAAGTGAATTCTACTAAACATTTAGGGAACAATTGATTCTAATTCTATATAAACTTTTTGAAGAAATAGGTAAAGAAAAAGTTCCACCAAATTCCATTTATGACCCAAATATAGTTTTCATACCTAAACCAGGAAGAACAAACACAGAGCAAGAAAACCATAGGCCAACTTTCCTAACAAATACTGATGCAAACATTTTAAATAAAACCCTAGCAAGGAGATTACAACAATATATCACAAAGATCATACATGTCCAGGGGGGATTTATACCAGGAATACAGGACTGGTTCAATATTAGGAAAACTATCAGCATAATTGACCATATCAATAACAAAAATATCAAAAATCACATGACTATTTTAATAGATGTAGAAAAAACTTTTGACAAAATACAACACCCATTGCTACTAAAACCACTAGAAAGCACAGGAATAAATGGTGCCTTCCTTAAAATGATAAATAGTATCCATCTAAAATGAAGAGCAAGCTTTATGTGTAATAGGGTTAATCTAGAAGCTTTTCCAATAAGATCAGGAGTAAATCAAGGTTATCTGTTATTACCACTATAATTCAATATTGTATTAGAAATGCAAGCTATGGCAATAAGAAAAAAAAAGAAATTGGAAGAATTAGAATAGGCAATGAGAAAACAAAACTATCACTCTTTGCAGATGATATAATAGAATACTTAGAAAACCCTAGGGAATCAACTAAAAAACTAGTTGAAACAATTAACAACTTTAGCACAATTGTAGGATATAAAATAAACCCACATAAATCATCAGCATATCTACATACTACCAACAAAACCCAGCAGGAAGAGATAGAAAGAGAAATTCCATTTAAAAGAACTGCAAATGATATAAAATACTTGGCAGTCTACCTGCAAGACAAACCCAGGGACCATATGAACACAATAACAAATCATTTCACACAAATAAAGACAGATCCAAATAACTGGAGAAATAGTAATCGTTTATGGGTAGGCTGAGCCAATATAATAAAAATGATGATTCTAACTAAATTAATTTACTTATTCAGTGCCATATCAATCAAACTACCAAAGCATTACTTTACATAGCTATAAAAAATAATCACAAAATTAGTCTGGAAGAATGAAAGGTCAAGACTATTAAGGGAATAAATAAAAAAATGTGAAGGAAGGTGGCCTAGCAGTACCAGAATTCAAACTATATTACAAAGTGGTAATCATGAAAACCATCTGGAACTGGCTTAAAAATAGGAGGGTCAATGAGTGGAATAGATTAGATACAAAGTACACAGTGGTAAATGACTATAGTAATCTAGTGTTTGATAAACCCAAGTGTTGAGGGCAAGAACTCACTATTTGACAAAAATTACTGGGAAAAACTGGAAAGCAGTTTGGCAGAAACTATACACAGACCAATATCTCATACCATATACCAAGGTAAGGTCAAAATGGGTATATGATTTATATATAAAGGGTGACATCATAAGTAAATTGGGGGAGCATGGAAAAATGTGCCTGTCAGGTCCACAGATACAGGAAGAGTTTATGACCAAACAAGAGATAAAAAGGATCACAGGAAGAAAAATGGATTATTTTGATTACATAAAATTAAAAAGGTTTTGTACCAACAAAACCAATGCAGCCAAAATTAGAAAGAAAGCAGGAAACTAGGATAACAAAATTTTACAGAAGTTTCTCTGATAAAGGCCTTATTACTCAAATATATAGGAAACTGAGCCAAATTTATAAAAATAAAAACCATTCCCCAATTGATAAATTAAAACAAAAATCTCTTCATTTTTCACTAAGCTACACTCCTCTGGACTTCTTCATCATACCCTCTGTGGTTATTGCCCTCTCCTCCCCTCCTTTCAGTGTTCTCTTATGTCTTGTCTTTCATCTATAAAATGTAAGCTCCTTATAGGCAGGGACTGTCTTTTGCCTTTATCTCTCGTGCTTACCACAATGCCTGGCACATAGTAGGTGCTTAATAAATATTTATCGACTATTACATAACAGAACTATATTGAACATAATAATTCAAGAAGCAGTACAATGTGGTGGCTAATATTAGCTAAATGACAATAGACAAGTCATTTAAACTTTCAGTATCCTAGAATAAGCTGTCATTTGGCCAGGACTGTAGGAACTGCCACCCTGTGAAATCATAGCTCTGGACAAAAATAAAATAATTTAACAAATTCAATTACACAAATTAAGCACCTACTATGCACAGAGCACTGTGCTAAGTGTGAGTGAGTGGTGGGGGATTAAGTTTAGATAAAATATAGTCTCTGTTCTCAAGAATCTTACAGCCTTAGAAGATGTGTCATAAACACAATAACTGTATTATATAGCATTATGTGAAAAGAACACTAGATACTGAAGTATGCTTACACATCAACAAGCATGAGGTAATATGATGTAGTAGGTAAAAAGCTGGCTAGTCTTCAAAAAAAAAAAACCAAAACCATCACCACCAAAAAACAAATTCATAATGTCTGAATCAGCTCAAACTAACTCTCAAGAGCTGATTGCTAAATTTTCAGTGTGCGCATTTACACCTCAAAAATCAGCAAATGTTACAAATCAAGGCTTTTATTTTTATTGATTGTCTAGACTTAATAAAGTGACAGATAAAATATTAATAATGCATATAAAATTTAAAAGTGTGTCTTGCATATAGGTTTCCTCTTGCAGACCTGGTTGTTAAACATTTATACCACCCTCCCCCCAATACATTCTAATTCCAGCTCTACCACTTATCAAATGACTTTGGACAAATCCCCAAGAATTATTAGCCTTTCCCATCTCATAGAATTGTTGTTAAGGACCCTGTGATTATATATACATATATATATATATATATGCATACACATACACGCATGTGTATGCATATATGTAAATAGATGTCTGCATGTATATATACACATATTGTGTGTATATATACATGTATGTGTATATGTGTATACATTCATATATTTAACAGTTGGCTCGTGAGAGCTGGTTGGAGCTGACTCAAATACACCATAGAATCTGTTTTTTCCCCCTTAATTTGAAAACAAACCAACTCTTTCCCTACTACAGCATGTTACTTCATGCTTGTTGACGCATAAACATACTTCAGGTGTTTCTGTGTATACTTAGATTGGAAGCTCCCTTCTGGCAAAAGGGTTCTCTTTTTCTTTCCTTGTTTCTCTGTCTATCTGATTCTGCCTGTCTGTCTATTTGGCATGGCCCACCATAGCTCCTGGGATTCTATTTTGATTCAATTGACAATCAATGTTTACATGGGAATTGAAAGGTAAATATCACGATCCTTTCTATAAAAGATCATGGTCTTTTGTGAATTAATTTCCATTTCTGCTACATAGAAAAGGTCTATAGGGTATCCCAAAAGTGTTAGTGTAGCTTTTAATAACAGAAAACTGCCCTAACACTTTTACTATATCGGTATCTCCACGGAAAGTTGAAAAGCTACCAGTTCCTTCTTTCACTTTTCCTACAATTGACTTTTAGGTGCTTAAGTGACTGAATTAAAAACATACTAGTTCATGCTTTATATATACACAAATGTGTATGTATATATATGTGTATGTGTATATATATATATATATACACACACACACAT